CCGGCTCTGAAGTGCGATATCCTCAAGGATCTTCCGTTGGAGTTATCCTTGCACGTCCTTTCGTACCTGGATCACCGCGACTTATGCCGGGCTGCCCAGGTGTCCACGCACTGGCGAAATCTCATTGATAGCAATGAAACGGGATGGAAAGCTCTCTTCGATCGAGATGGGTTCGTGCTGACCACCGGCGAGCTGGAAAGGGCCATCAAGGAAGGCTGGGGTTGGCAAGATCCCGTTGGTCCCGAGGGGTGCGAGCGCGATTATAGCCTGCAGAACCGGCTGACATCGAGCGAATCGGAACTACTCCGATCCTCGTCGAAACCCGAGCCTCCCCAGAAGCTGCGGTCCTCGAAGCGTAAGAGAGCTATTATGACTGGCCTGGGCTCCGATCGTTCCAAACGGCGAGCGAGCGCGCAGGATCACGTTAGGGACGAGAAGACGCACGCTGAATTCAAACCCGAGGGCCCCATCTCCGCTGCCAACGCTGCCGCCTTGGCCGTACCCGATCCTCTCGTTGGCCTTGCGAGCCTGAGAAAGCTGCATCTGTTCAAATCGCTATACCGACGGCACCATATGATCCGCCAGAGTTGGACCACTGGCAAGGTCAAGCCTAGCCACGTCGCCTTCGCCGCCCATCCCCGCCATGTCATCACTTGCTTGCAGTTTGATGAGGACAAGATCATCACCGGAAGCGATGACCAGTTGATCCACGTCTACGACACGAACACGGGCAAGCTGCGAAAGCGCCTAGAGGGCCACGAGGGGGGTGTCTGGGCACTTCAGTACCAAGGCAACGTCCTAGTCTCGGGGTCTACTGACAGATCCGTCCGAGTGTGGGATATTGAGAAGGGCCTTTGCACCCAGGTCTTTTATGGCCACACTAGCACTGTCCGATGCCTGCAGATCCTGATGCCGACCGATACTGGCAAAGTAGAGAATGGTGTGCCGGTCATGATGCCTCCGAAGCCCCTCATCATTACTGGTTCCCGGGACAGCCAACTGCGCGTCTGGCGTCTTCCCGAGGCTGGCTCCCGGAGATACATCCAAACAGGACCTCCCGCCAACGATGCCGACTGTCCCTACTTTATCCGTACTCTCCAGGGGCACAGTCATAGTGTGCGAGCGATCGCTGCACACGCCGATACCTTGGTCAGCGGCAGTTACGACAACACAGTCCGGGTCTGGAAGATCAGCACGGGAGAGACCGTGCATGTTCTGCAAGGCCATGCCCAGAAGGTATATAGTGTTGTACTAGACACCGAACGCAATCGGTGCATCTCGGGCAGCATGGATAGCTTCGTCAAGATCTGGGACCTGGAGACTGGTGCTTGCACGCACACGCTCGAGGGCCACAGCTTGCTCGTCGGCCTGCTAGATCTCCGTGACGAGCGTCTCGTATCCGCGGCTGCAGATAGCACTCTGCGTATCTGGGACCCCGAGAGCGGACGATGCCGGCACACCTTGACTGCACACACTGGTGCCATTACCTGCTTCCAACACGACGGGCGGAAAGTGATTAGTGGGAGTGATCGAACCCTGAAGATGTGGGATATTCGCACGGGCGAGTGTGTTCAAGACCTGCTCACCGATCTCAGCGGGGTTTGGCAAGTTCGTTTTGATGAGCGCCGTTGCGTCGCAGCCGTCCAACGTGAGGGCATTACGTATGTCGAGGTAAGTTGTGATGCTTTTCCTACGAGAGCGTTGAGCGCCCATGCTAACCTGGTCCACCTCCCGTAGATCCTTGATTTTGGCGCTGTCCGGGACGGCAAGTCGCCCGAGGAACTCGGCAAGCGGATTCTACTGAATGCACCCGAGGTGCAGCGGTTCCTCGACGAGGCTAGAGACGATAATTGAGGTCACCGCTATTTCACACGATCTGTGAAGCACCCATCGGTTTTCATCCTGGTTACGCCGTGTCCTACTGTCCCGCTGTGCCAACGATTATTTCTACCACTGTCGATCCAGCAAAGAGGCGGGCACTCGGGTTTTTCATTCATTAGCAAGCTCAACATTTACCATCCCCTCCAGACTTCTCATCTTCGCCTTTCATCACTCCTATCGCGACTGGCTCTCCGGCTCTTTGCTTGTGAGCCATAAACGTGGCTTTGGGATCCCGGCACTGCCATCAAAGTCTACTCGTTCTGCTCTAGGGTATATACACCATGAGAAATAGATAGGATGGCTAGAAGGTCCTACGAGTTGATATCCAGGTGCCGGGAACCTCTCACAAGTTGTCGCTGGACCAGGTGCACCATCCGGGAGCACGTGCATATCTTTGACATCCACTAGGTAGTAGGTCTTGGTATGGTTGGGCCTACCTGCTGCCACAGATACAGCATTACTTGCTTGTTATTAAAAGTTGGGTCATAGGAAGATGCTGGCCGTGCGGCGCCGGCGAGGCAAAAAAGCATATCGACAGTCATTCATGGAGTGTCGCTTCTGTTTCTAAGCATTGCATACGTTGCTTTCGAGAAAGGGGGGCGTTGGGGTGTGGCGTGAGCATGCATTACTATTATAGTCACTTTTTGTTTCTTATCATGAGCCCAGGGGCGGAAGGGACCCAGTGAGCAAACTCGGCAAGCATCGTCTAGGGCGTTGAGTTTTACATCATTCTGTAGGAGTAGGGTTCGGCTACGGGGGCAGTTTTATACCTGGTGGAAATGACGGCTAATGACCTTAGATATTCTTCGTACTATCCAGTTGACATGCTGCGTACTGAACCGCGTGGTGATTGCTAATATAATACATATGCCGAGTTCGGGCTGATATTGTGGTCTGGACTGCTCGATCTAACTCTTGAATCCCATCCATGGTTATTGATCTACGGATCTTATCGCCAAGGAGCCGGCGGCTTGTTCTGTAGCATGCGCTGTTCTCTTCTGCAAAGTTTCCACAGGAGGGCTAGTAGCCAGCTACCTTCGGTCTTCGATCCTGTTCACTTATTCCCCTGTATTCTTCCACAAGCGCTCATAGCCCACGTACCGATACCAACTGCTAGTTACCTGACCCTCTATCGGTGTGATGAATGCCTTTGATTGTGACGAAGTCTATCTGTACCTTACTTACTATGATAGGAACCAAGTTTCTCTCCTGCCAAGATACAGTTGCAGGGCTGCGCCGCAAGCCAAAGGCGACGCTGACGCAAAAAGTCATGTACATTCGTTGCTTGGATATGACACGTACTATAAAGATCAAGTGACGATTCTAGTTTCAGGGTCCAGGTCACATCTTTCGATTCCTCCTACTTTCTTTCCCAACCCTCTAACGCCAATCCCTTCAAATAGTGCATTGGTCATATGTGCCTAGGCATATACACATTGGTTATGAGTAAACAAATCCTTCCCGTCCCAGATCCCGTCGGGTCGTACTGGCTCAGCGAGCCCCACGAGCTCGGCGACCTAACGTCGACGCCGGACCTCCCCGGGGAATGCGACGTCCTCGTAATTGGCTCGGGCATGGCTGGGATCACGACAACCTACTACATCCTAGAGGGGGGAAGAACAACAGCGATCTTGAGTCTCTTCCTCTCCCGTCCCCGTGTCTGTCCCCATCCGTGGTGATCCTCAAGGCCCGCCAATTATGCTCCGGCGCCACAGCGCGCAACGGAGGACACTGCAAAGTCAAGGGGCCGACACTGGTAGGAATGCTACCGGGCCTCGGCGCCGCCGCCGTCGACGACCTACACTCCTACGTGCGGGGCGCCATGGACGGGCTCAAGCGCCTGGTCGAAGATTAGGAGCTCTGGGAGTATTGTGAGTTCGAGTTGTGCCGCGCCTTTGACGTCTTTTTGATAACACGCGAAGACGAAGACGAAGGCGAAGGCGCGCGGCACCGGCACCGGCACCGGCACCGGCAACGACAAGGGACGAATGAGTCCGAAGACCTGAAGCGGGCATACGACGAGCGTCGTTGTGCTGGCGACACCTGGACGCGACATGTGAGCTGGATCGGCGAGATGCATGCGGAGCAGGTGACGTCGATCCAAGACGCCGTCGTCGCCTTTACCGGTCCCGCCTGCTCCCTTTGGCCCTACAAGCTTGTCTTTGGCCTGCTCGCCCGCTTGGTCGCACGCCACCCGCCGCCACGGCTAAATGTGCAAACCTACACTACCGTCACAGCAATCACCACGATGACGGACAATAAAGGCGATACTTGGAATGTCACGTCCACATCGCGCGGGGTTATGCGAGCCCGCAAGCTGGTCTTCGCGACCATCGCGTACACGGCGGGGCTGCTACCACAGTTCGGGGGCTCGATCGTTCCGATTTGTGGCATGGCGTCACATATCACCCCTGCCCATGTTCCTATACCTGTTCCTGCAGGAAACGGGGGAAGTAAGAGACAGGGAAAGGTAGTAGTAGGGGTAGAGCCAGGGGCAGTGCATCCCCACCTCAATAACACGTACAACATTTCCTTCGGCCCGGAACGGGGCGTTGACTACCTCAACCCACGACCGGATGGCGGCATCGTTGTCGGTAGCGGGAAGTGGAAGGACAACAAGGATCGGTCAGCTTGGTATGACAACTTTGATGATTCGGAGAGATTTAGCCCAGGTGTCGAGGCGGCGTATTGGCACAACTATAGGCAGCGTACATTCAGCGGCTGGGAGCGTAGCAGGGCCGCAGCCGACTCGGTCTGGGTCGGCATTATTGGTATCACGCCGGACGGGTGGCCGCACGTTGGACGCGTTCCCGGAGGCGGAGACTTGATTGCCGGCGGAGCGAATAGCGACCGGCACAAGCAGCACAAGCAGCAATGGATGCTGGCCGGGTTCAATGGTGGCGGAATGGCGCTGATACTGACGGCTGCGAAAGCGGGTGGCTATAATGGTCAGAGATGATGTTGGGTTCGAGGAGGTGAGGCAACAGTTCGGACTACCCGCATTCTTCTCGACGAGCATGGATTAAAAGAGAGCATAACAATTTAAAGAGCAAAATCCCTATAAAGGGCTACCAAAAAAGATGAGAGGTTGCAAAAGGGGGGGCAAAAGCAAAACTCAAGGGCTTCGCCGGGATTTGAACCCGGGACCTGTCACAGTGGATCACAGGTTTTAACTCTGTGGGGAATTCCCGAAGCGACAATCATACGACTAGACCACGAAGCCAACTCTGATTGGTAAAAATTCTCTTTTGGTCTCTTATAAAACCAAATTCCTCACGAACAGGGAAGAAGACCCTTAGTTTTCCCGACAACCCCTAACTATTCTTGCCTCGGTAGTGACGTATATAGTTCGCTTGCTAAAACATTATAGTCCGTTCTTTCGGTAATAATTAACTTATTGCATTTATCGCATTTACTTATTTACATACTTTATTCTTAATCGAGCAAAGTTGTGTTTAATAGAACCTCTGTTTAATTAAAGGCCGTGGCGCAGGTTCAGTTATCAGTAAGAAACCTTCCAGGGCTGCCGGGTCATTAAGATGGCCAAGCATAACCAGAACCCCAGCCCTTAGTTCCGGATAGCGACCTGTTCGATCCATCCCCTTAGGGGTGTCTTAGTCATTCTCGTAAGTCTGTAACAGCTCTCTGGACGAGATCGCACGGACCTACTTCATCAGGTTTATATTAATTGGCGTATGCATAGCAAAGAACACATCGCCGACATAGCGCAGTCTAGAAACCTTTATCATCAGGGCCCCGCGAATCGACACCCTTGAAATTTAGTTGCCAGGGTCTAAGATGTATAAAACTTCTCTAGGAGTAGCCCTCACATTGCGAGCTTGTAGAGGCTAAGTATCTGCATGGAAATCTGGAGACCATTTACAGATGTCCCAGATCGGTCTACTTCGCACGCTGCTTTACGATGTTTTGAAGCTGTTGGAACAGGTAGCGAAATAATGCTTTCCTGAACGACTGTGAATGTATACGCTGCTGGGAATTGCAGCCTCTATACCCCTGTCCGAAGCTGGACTTATGCGTGGCCTGGACCAACTTGTTACTAAGAAAGCCGAGGCGCGCTTCGCCTGTCTCATTGATGGTCTTGAGGGGTTCTTGGGTAACTATGATGATTAGTGTTCTTTATTAGGTGTCTGGCGGCGCATCCACATGTCAAGACTTATTATTGTGTTAAGACAGTTAAGTTGACCTTGGGTAGTAATATCAAAGATGAATGCCTTTTGGCGAAAACTAAGTCTATGACTTGGTAACTTGACAGGTGCCAATATTTTCCACCCTATTACCAAAGGTTTAAAAGCCAACCCTTAACGATCTTGATTCTTCGGAAACAGGATTCAGAGCGTGCTGAAATACTCATCGGGGATATTACTACGTAATACTTGGAAATATTCTAAGGTGTTCTTCCGGGTGTTCCTTATGGTTTGCACCGTACTAGAAGGCTTAAGAAATGAAAAAGATTAAGTGAGGTATTATTTAAGGTAATATTTAAAGGATCATTTTGGCCTTAGTGTATGTAAAACGTCCCGAATCACGTGGCTATTCGCTTATCCAACTTCACACGCTAGAGATTTGTCCAGCAAATGGCTAAGCCCATGCTTATAAGACATAATAAATGCCGACCAATCAATCATTAAACCAGCCCGCATGGCTCAGTGGTAGAGCGTCTCACTCGTATGTGCAACTTTCTCTGAGAAATCCGAGGAAGCGATGAGAAGATCCTTTGTTCGATCCAGAGTGTGGGCAAAATGTGTTTACTCTTTTATTTTAACTTTTTGCATTTTTACTTTGCCCGAGTTATGCGTAGGTGCTGTGGGGCGGTGCCATAACCCTAGGTTTTGACGTACTATAGACCTTCTACAATTCATCCCTAATACAACTACAAGCCATGGAAACACTGCTAAGATCGAATCTCGCAATATCTCTAAAGCGAAGCCTTAAACGCCCCTAAGATACTGGTACATGAAGGTCTTATCCCTCCGCCTCCCGAGACGAAAGACAGACAGACTCGCCTCTCGGAATACCTGCTGTATGATCCGCGTTTAGAATCTGCCTCTCTTAGAACCTCTGCGATAGGAGCCAGTAGACGAATATGGGTTCCGCTGGCTGTACGACCCTCCAGGCTGCGAGCTTCCACGCTGCGAGCCTCCCCATTGCGAGGATGATACACGCTTAGTAGTGCCACGTTTCGAGGTCGATCCGCTTTTCCCGCTCGTCGTGCTGGCTTCATGCTTACTGATGATAGGCTCCCGCTTCATATTTGGTTCCCGCGCGGCAGCATCGCAGGCGCGGGTAAACTCTTTCAGCAGGGACTAGAAATTGTCAACTACCCACCCATGTATACACTCGCTTCATGGTCATGGACTTGATACATCACGGAGATACATGCATAGGATGCCATGAAAACAAAAACGAGGGGGAGGGGAAAGAGAAGAAGGACTTACGTCAAAGTCGTGGTCCTCGAGCGACGCGAACTCGGGTAGTCTGTCGAGCTTCAGCCGCGTAACCCGAGGGCTTCTGATGCCGAAGGCGACACGGGCCAGGAAGCGGGGGTCGTCGCGGATATCGCAGGCGTCGAGGACTCGGCGGATGGCGTCTATGTCAACGTGTCTGTCCTCGGGCCGAGGCCTCGGCGGCAGCCTGACGGGCATGTTCGTCAGGCAGTACGTGCAATGGCCGCAGCGGGTAGTGCCGTCGGGGAGGCCGGTGCCGAAGTGGTGCGCGAGAGCGAGTGCGAAGCACTGGTGGCCCGTGATAAGACCTGCGACCTGTTGGATGCGCTGGAGTGCGTCTGCCTCGCGCGCCTCCATGTCGGCGTGCAGCCGATCCGCGAGGTCCTCCATCTCCGCTTCAGTCTGGGGTAGCGGCTGCAGGATTCGGTACTTGTTTTGCACGCCGCTGACGCGGAGCACCAGGGCGCCCGCGTCATGCAGCTCGTTGAGCCGCCGCACGATGTCATTTCGCGGGATGCTCCCCTGCTTCGCGACAGCGTACACGTCGATGTCGTAGAGTTTGACAGCCTTCTTTGCGTTGGCGAATATGGCCTTGCCGGCACGCGATGTTTCCTTCTTGGCGAAGTAGCCATACTTGCTCGTCGCTTCGAACTTGTACGACGAGTATTCCGGGGTGATGGCGCGGATCAGTCCGAACCGGAGCTCGAGCGTCGCGAGGATTATGGTGAGCGGGCTGGGTCGGATGTCGCAGTCCTGGCTCAGCTGTGTGTGGTTGACTTTGAACCCCTTACCGTTCGGGACGTCGATCACTTCTTGGCTGAATACATCCTTCAGGAGGCCCCGGATGGATTCCAGGGCTGGTAAGTCACCCCTGGCGAAATTTTCCTTGATGTAGAAATCCTCGGGGCAAATGTAAAACATGCAATGGCTTTGCAACCCGTCCCGCCCAGCACGACCGATCTGTTGGCTGTACTCTTCGATGGTGCTGGACAGGTCGAAGTGGATGACGTTACGAATGTTGGCCTTGTCGATACCCATGCCGAAAGCGATAGTCGCAACGACGATGGGCACCCTGGATGCCATGAATTCATCCTGGACTCTCATCTTCTCCTCGGTTTTGAGACCTGCGTGGAATGCCATTGCGCTGAACCCATGTTTTTTCAGGTCATGGGCAAGGGCCTCGGCTTGCTTCTGTAAGGTAACGTATATAAGAGTCGAGCCGCTATGGGTTTTCAGGAAGCTGAACAGCCTCGGGTACTTGTCCTGCTTCGTAGCGACGGACTCGGCAAGTAGCTGGAGGTTTGGTCTGTAAGGAGACGTGCGATGCACATTTGGCGCGCTGATGTCGAAGGCATTGCAGATGTCTTCGGCAACACGAGGCGTGGCTGTGGCGGTGAGACAGATGACCTTCTCGGCCGCCACCTCATTGGCAAAGCGCGCCACTTTCAAGTAGTCTGGCCTGAAAGAGTGTCCCCATTCTGAGATGCAGTGTGCTTCATCGACAGCAAGCAGACGAACACCTCCTGCAACATACTTCATGCTCTCGACGAAGCCTTCGTTGTTTAGTCTCTCGGGAGCGCAGTACAGCAATCGCAATCGCCCTTCCCGCATTGCGGAGTTGATATCCTTCGATTGTTCGTATGTCTTTGTCGAGTCCAGACAGTCTGCAGCGATGCCCCTGCGTTTCAAGGCATCGACCTGGTCCTTCATGAGAGCAATCAAGGGCGAGACGACAATGGTGATGCCCGATCCATTTGTCTTCGTGGTGTCGCTCTCGGCATCGAGCTGCTCAAAAGCAATGGCCGGTATCTGAGAATAGTGTAAGTTGTAGACACCATAGAGACCAACGCCATGCTCAACGAACTGCTCACCTGGTAGCACAATGACTTCCCTGCACCGGTGGGAAAGACGACCAGGGTGTTCTCACCCCTCAAGATGGAGCGAATGGCAGAACGTTGCTCATGACGAAAGTCGTCATAACCGAATTTCTCTGTGAGTATTTGCTGGGCGACGGCGTCCAGGCGATCATCGCCGACAACATCAACCTTGGGGCGTTTGCTCCGGTGGTCCTGTCGGGAGGCTTGGTTATCGAGGTCATTATGCTCTGAGAGTGAACGCTTAGAGGAGGTTACCAGGGTGTCGACATTGACATCGGCTAATAAGTCGTCCCCCGAATCGTAGTCTGACATCGTCCCGGTTCTAGTGGAGGTTCCAGCACCGTGGATGTGGAGGCGATTCCCGAATATGCAGGCTGCAGTAGATGATGCTCCACCAGACCGGCTGCTAGTTGCCAGTGGCTTGTGGGATGATCCAACGATGCGATCCGTTTGTACCGAGAATGGTACCCGAGTTGACAACAAGCTGAGTTGTCGCAAATGCAGAGGGAAGTAGGGATGGGATTTGGAGCGGGATTTGGTATAGGATCCTATCACAATTCTTGCGAAGTATTTCGAAACACCTTCTAGGCGATTGCGGAGGGGGACCATGAAGAGCCGTGATGTATAATTATGTAGGTTGGATACTGCAAGACGCGCTCTGTCGCGTTCGACAGTGGTACTTGTATTGTACATACCTACCGGCAGTAGGCAATCAGGGCATTGGCGCATCGGGGCATTAGGGCATTAGGGCATTAGGGCATTGGTAGGCACTAACGTGCTGGAGGTTTAGGTCTGCCATGTGCTGTACATACATGTATGTACTTGCACACCGTGATGCATACGCGACGCACGTGACTTATAAGAAGTCGAAGTCGCGTTGAATGCATATTAAGGAAACTGCATATTAATTAGTTCAGTAGAAATTGCATACAAGCTGGCAAGCGGCCAGCCAGCCCCCCTTTTCTTCTGCCTTAATCCTGGACCAGGACCAGGACCAGGACCAGGACCAGGACTAGGACTAGGACCTCAACGAAAAACACTCTTCCAGATGTTTTTATACATATCCTCTAGGTCTACTCAGCTTATTCAGTCTTCAAGGAACTCGGTTTCCCCCGCTACTCTTAAGTTCGATGTTAGGTACACCAGCTGACGCCGGCTCCGCGCTTCGCGCGGAGACCTTTAAGGGAATTGCTTTTTGCTGCTTATTTAAATTGGGCTAAATAAATATTGTATTACGTAATTTGCTTGGGAATCGTATCTTTGCCCGAAAAGTAATATATTACATAATCAGCTTTAACTTAAACCTTTTATCGATAAGGACCGGAATAATACTGGCAGGGAAGGGGCTGGCAAAGCCAGCCCCTTTCCTGCCAGGCTAGGCCCCTTCCAATAAAGCAAAACCGGTTCCAGCAAAGCATGTTCTTTCCAGCCGGGCCCGTTTTACCTAAGCCGGGCCTATTCCAGCAAAGCCCGTTCCACCTAAGCCGGGCCCGTTCCAACAAAGCCCGTTCCACCTAAGCCGGGCCCCTTCCAGCAAAGCCCCTTCTAACAAAGCCCCTTCTAGCAAAGCCCCTTCTAACAAAGCCCCTTCCAACAAAGCCCCTTCCAGCAAAGCCCCTTTTAATAAAGCCCCTTCCAGCAAAGCCCCTTCCAGCAAAGCCTATTCTTTCCAGCCGGGCCCGTTTTACCTAAGCCGGGCCCGTTCCAGCAAAGCCCGTACCACCTAAGCCGGGCCCCTTCCAGCAAAGCCCCTTCTAACAAAGCCCCTTCCAGCAAAGCCCTTTCCAGCAAAGCCTGTTCTTTTCAGCCGGGCCCGTTTTACCTAAGCCGGGCCCCTTCCAGCAAAGCCCGTTCCACCTAAGCCGGGCCCCTTCCAGCAAAGCCCCTTCCAGCAAAGCAAAGCCCTTTCCAGCAAAGCCTGTTCTTTCCAGCCGGGCCCGTTTTACCTAAGCCGGGCCCCTTCCAGCAAAGCCCCTTCCAACAAAGCAAAGCCGGTTCCAGCAAAGCCTATTCTTTCCAGCCGGGCCCGTTCCACCTAAGCCGGGCCCGTTCCAGCAAAGCCCGTTCCAGCAAAGCCCGTTCCAGCAAAGCCCGTTCCAGCAAAGCCCGTTCCAGCAAAGCCCGTTCTAGCAAAGCCAGGCCCTTTTTACTTAAGCCCGGTCCGTTGCAGCAAAGCAGGTCCGTTGCAACAAAGTAAAGCCAGGTCCGTTCCAGCCAAGCTAGTACTGTTTTAGCTTATCGATAAGAAAAGGCCCGTTACCCGTACGGACTTAGTTGCAACGCTAGGTGCACGGATCAGGATGTCGCGCGGCATTTAATTGTATACGATAATTACAAAGTAAAAACGTCGATAATTTCGGTCAAATCCTAAAATGTAAAGGGCATGAACTTTCGGAATTAAATGCATTCGAAAAGA